TTCCAATATATTGATGCTTTAGAATAAACTGCTGTGCAAAATTAACTGGAGCAAAGTAAACTGCTCACCAGCTTAGTGCATTCCATAGGCTCTAATTCTGAAAGCACTCCACAGCACCACTAATTCACACAGACTTGAAGGATATATGGAACAGATGACCAGTCTGAATTTGTGCTATCAGTTTTGTAAGCATAAGTGTCTAAATTACAGAGTAAGACTAGAAATGTGAGGAATTAGTAAATTTTTCTCAAAAGAAAAAAAAATTACAAGTGAATTCATCAGCTTAGTTGATTTTTGCAATTCACAAAAGGTCATTCTCATTTTGTAAAGTGTTATACCTGGATTGCCATCCAAACTGTACTCTACATTTTTCTCTTGGTTTGAAATCTCTTGTCCTCTTGAAGAGTCTGCACATGATTCAAACCACATCAGCCTTTAATTAAAATAAACTTTATTCTTTTTTAAGCCACCAGTGAGGACTACAAACTCTTGGAAAACATGAATAAGCTGACTAGCTTGAAGTACCTAGAAATGAAAGATATTGCGATAAACATCAGTAGAAATCTTAAGGATTTGAATCAAAAATGTAAGTACACCAAATATGGTAGGGGTATAACGAATGGTGCACTTGTTTGGGAAATGAAGCATCTTAAGAGTCAGAAGGTTCACATTCCATTAGGTGCTGAAGGAAAGTAAACTTACTGAAATAGATATGCTGCTATAGAATGCTAATCTTGTGTATTACATGTATGCACATATATAGACCATGTAGACTAGCATAAGAGAAAATACATCTGAAACTATGTCCTGGTTTACCCCAGATTTTGGATCCAATAGGAATAGCACTTCTTTTGATCCTTGTTCTGTTGTTACTTGTGTTAGAGTCTAGCCAGTATTCTTAAACAATTCATACTTTCCTGGAATATGGCTGCCACCACTTAATTTTGGGGCAGGGGAAGGAAGGAGCTTTTAAATTGTTCTGTCTGAGGAATGTAATGAGAAATTCTTGTGTTTCAAGCGTGAACTGTTTTTTGGAAGTGCATTACTGAGAACTGACAGATACAATTTTCCTGCTTTTTTAAGATGCTGATCTTCAGCCATATCTGGAACAAATAAACCTAATTGAGGAGCAGGTTGCAGCTCTGGAGCAGGCAGCGTATAAATTGGATGCATATTCCAAAAAACTTGGTAACTATTGTTCTCTACTCTTATGACTTAGCAGCATAGTGCCTTGCAAGGGGGTTTAAAAAGGAAGAAAGTAAACTGTTTAACAAATCTGAGCTGCAGAGTTGCCTTTGGGAAAAGATTAATCTAACAAGTTATATTACAGTGGACTAGTACAGGTGTTATTAAACTACAGCTTATTAGGGAGGCTTGATTTTTCTTTTACATTATGCAGTGACCCAAATTTTAAAGACCTGTGATTAATCCTGCAAATAGAGGAATTCATAAAGGCACCCAGGTTCTCTTGGATTAAATTATTAGTTGTCTGACTTAAGCACTGTGTGCTTAAGAAAAAAGTATTGTACAATTATATTTGCCTAAATGCATTAGTAATAAAGGATTTTGAATGATCCAGTAAATGAACTTGAATTTTAAGATGTGTAGCAGCTTACAAGATGCAAAGCTCTTACCTACCCTGTACTAAAATATTGTTCTTTTTCCTTCTGCAGAAGCCAAGTACAAAAAACTGGAGAAACGATGAAGTTAAACAGTCTTTATGTTGGAGTTGGGCAATGAATCAAACTGTTTTCAGGTTTTGCACAACAGCAGTTCTGTATGTTGCCAAGGATTTGGTTGCAGCTAACATCAAGACTGGGAACTTCTTCTAGCTATTGAATACAGAAGGCTGTATTCAGGCTTAAGGCTGAATAATATTCTCCTCTTCTCAGAGGTTCTGTTGCTCAGTTGTTTTGCAGTGACAAGTAGAAGCCTGTCCCTAACCCGTGCTGATATTGGCTATGTGTGTGTTAGTCCTGTTTTTCACATGAAATATTCTGTCTAGGAAAGTTCCTCTGTAACCAATAAAAGACATTTTCCCTCAATAGCAGTAGGACCAAAACTTCACTTTTTCCTTCATTGTGCTCTGTGTTGAGAAGATACTTGGGCCTTTGGACTTATGAGAGGGATATTGAAAACCCTTAATTTTGGTATCCCCTGTTATCTGTTTGACATAGGGAGACTAATTACTATAAATTTACAATAAAACAACTTGCTGCATTTGTTTCTCTGGAATCCTAAGTTCCTGGTGGAAAGATTATGTAAGCTGGTTTTGTATTTTTTCGAAGGACGGACTTTTTCCAGCTCCTGAAGATGGTAGAAGAGAACATGTTTTAAACTCTGCCTCAAGTATTGTTGCAATTGCATTCTTTGACTGCCTGGACCTTAGGTGAAATTGCAAGATATATTGCTCTATCATGTCCTCAGTTAAATTAGCAGATCCTTTCTCTACTTTAGCAGTGAATTGTGATCCCAGTAGTTTTTGAAGTGGCATGGCCAGCACAGAAAGTTGCTTCTCTACCAGATTAACAATTTCCAAATTGCTAATTTGGCAGAGCCCTGCCTACTGAACAGGCATGCCTCCTACACCGAGGACTTTTTCCATACCTGTCGACTGTAAGTACTTCAAGCTGACTTTTGAGTGAGTTGCATTTGAGAATAGTACAAGTGCTGATATGTAGGAAAGAAATACAGTCTGTTTAAAAGAGTGTCTAGTGATATGCCAGTGTGGTACACATCCTCATTGTGTTGGGCAGTGTACAGCACTGTAATTAGTAAGGACAGACACTTTTCCTTAGTGCTGTTTAAAGACAGTGAAGCAGATGATCCTCGAGTGCCTTCACCATCACTTTAAATATCCTGGGTTTAAAATAGAAGCAGCATTTCTGTGCTCGCGATGTTTTCCTGGCAGGACTGCGGGGGGACAGAAGGGGGTGCTGTGTCAGCAGGGAAAACTCAAGAGGCATCAGCCGCGAGGAAGTGAAAACCTTTGGTGCGTGTGTGTGTGTGTGTGTGTGTCTCAGTTGAGGGGGGGCTGTATATCCCGCAGCACACAAGCTTTGGGAGTTACAGTTATGACTCATGTCAGAAAACATCTCTGGTGTATTTGTGTGCCAAACAGAAGATCCGTTTAGAAAGGTGAGTCCCGGAACCAAAGTTCCTTGGTGTTTATGAGTAATCCAATAGAGAGCTTCATCCTCAGGATGCAGCAGCGCTAGTGAACCTCTGAATGTTCTATGTCATACAAAACTACTTGCAACCCTTAGGTTGAAATCAACCTCTTAACAGTCATGTATAGTTTAACATGCTACTGTGTAGGGTTATCAAGAGAGCACTGACATCCCAAGAGGTCAAAAATACATCTGAAATGCCAGCTGGGAGAATCACTAACTTGAGAGCTGTGGATATAACCACTGTTTTCACAACTTTCCCTTTTAAATGAAACTTCTGTATGGGAATTCACAAATGTCTCAGCATCCTTCCCTTCGGCCTAGAAGAGCTATGTAACATATACGTGCACACGAGGCTTGGTACGCGCTCTGCCCGTGTTCTTTTCCTCTTCAACAAAAAATTTGAAGATATTTGAGTTTACACCTGGCTACTCCAAACTGCTTGTTTTTACCTTTGATCACCCCATCTCCCTTGATCCACATCTGTCCTTTCTGTCCAGACATCCAATTAATCTCTGTATGTCACGTTAATTTATAATAGTAGCTCAGGCAAGTGCTATTGCCCTGTTATGGGGACAATGCTGAAGTACATTTGTTTGCTTCATGGATTTCTTCACTGAGTTCTTCACTTAGGGACACTTTTGTATGTTTCAGAATTTGCCAGTTCTTTTCTTCATTAGTACTTGCCCAGCTGATTGTTGCTTCTGTAGCTGATTCCCAGCTTCTTAGAAGCATCTTAGAAGCTTGAGCTCACAGGGATGCTTATGTTCTGTGAGAGGTATTTGGGGCATTTGCAGAGGTATTCTGCAACAATGTGCAGAATGGATTAATCAAGTTTGAAAGTGTTCCTCACATGGCCAAGTGACAGGACACTGTGTCAGGTTTGCCACAGAAAATTCGTATGGTCCTGCCTGGTTCTGCACATGAGCAAGTAATGCACTGTCTGCACTGTCGCTGGAGAAGAAAAAGCCAAGGCTGCTCTGTGCACTAGCAGGCAGGGAGAGGGAGCAGTATGGCTTCGTGGGACATGTAGAACTTTCCAGCAGTGGCTAATTTTTTTAGTTAACCCAGAGCTAATGTAAGCAGTTTTTGGTTACCATTGCACTGCTTTTTCTACCACAAGTGACACAAAGTGAGGCTTCCAGGACACGGCTTTAGCCCTTCCCAAATCTCAACTCCCATTTCACATCATGGAGGAGTCTCTGGGTGCTAAAACTGTTTTCTTGCTGATCTGCATTGGCTGCCTCCTCTTTTCAGCATGGAGGAAGATGTCTGAAACAAGGAAGCTGCTTCCTCATTTGCTTTGGCTATTTTAGTCATGGCACAGCTAAAGAGGAATTAGAGAGTGCTTTCTTCTTTTTATCAGATGAGACAACTTATTTCTATGATTCTGTGACATTTGTGGCTTTTGCCTTTGGAATGCTATGCCACCAAGTCATGGTATATCTAGCTTATTAATACTTTCAAAGAAAACAAGTTTTGCCTGTTAATAAGCAGTTAATACCATTGTGGTAATGTTACAGTTGCTGTCTTTTCCCACATAGCACAGATTCAGCTCTCTGCCTTCACTGTAATCACTATATATTATACTTTGCAGGGAACGTGATCAAGACAGAAAATGGCAATCCTAGATCTGTACAGGTATGATTGGCAATTCATGTAAACACTGTTTATATTTTTTTGCCTGATTGTAACATTGCTGTAGTGATCTTTATGTACTTCATAAAATAATGGGAAGATGCAAGCTGGTGTTTATCTAGGAAATGGCACTGGGGGCATCCTGGTATTATTTAATTTGTCTTTTTTTTTTGCCACAGTGGACAGCTCTGTAAGTACAGCTGGGGTTCTGATAAGTCCTGTATCATCCCACATTGGGAATGGAAGTTTATAGGTCATTAGCCAGCTCATTCTTCGAGCCATAGGACATTTCATATACGTGAGTGAAATGAAACAGTCAATTTTCAACAGTGTACAAGACTTCAAAAACATTTGGAAATACAAGCTTTTTGGATGCAGGTTTTTCACTGAAAGATGGTCTGGGATCTCAGAAAAAGAACAATTCATTGTACCACTTTTTTATTTTGCAATATAAGTTGTAATTTCACAAACCTTCATTACAATCACACAGAAGATAACCCATCTGCCCAGTCATTGATAAACTCCATTCCCACCACAGTAGACAATAAGTACTGGGACAAGAATATATTAGGTGACCATCATCTAACAGAAAAAAACCCTCACTGTTTTACACTTACCTTTACAAATCGGTTACAAACAAATTGAAAGTACAGAGGAGAGAGGTACCTCAGCAGATTCTGTGGAAAGCCTGGAGTACAAGCATCTGTTCTGCTGTGCTGAGATGATCAAGTGATAGGGACAGCAGCAGCAGGGCTCTCAGACAGCTACTCCACTCACCCTGGTACGTCAGGAGCCAGATGGGAAACAGAGCTGGGCGAGGCAGGTGCAGAGGAGAACCTGTATAATTTTGCACAGGGAGCTGTGTTCTTCCTTGTACCATTGCCTACTCTGTCTCTGTTTAGAGCTGGCTGTGGTCGTTATAACAGCACCATACAATTTTCTTTTCTGAGCACTTTTGTCTCCATAAAGTATCTAGAAAATTATCTGAGTGTTTCAGTCTCAACAGATTGGGAAATGACTGTTGTTCAACCAGAGCATTCACGAGTTTGGGAGCTGGCAACAGTTTTCTCTTGGCTAACGTGGAACAAAAGAGACCTGATAGGGTCGGGGCATGCTTGCCAGAGCGGTGACTATTGGAGTAATGTCAATGTCCTTGAGATCCACAATAGGCTTCAAAGTAAAGTTCTGCAGGATGGATGTTAAGAATATGAATATCTCCATCCGGGCCAGACCTTCTCCTGCACAGACACGTTTTCCTGCAAGAAAAGAAAATAATAAAAATTGAGGTGACGCAGTATTTTGCTTGCTAACTGGTTTTAACCACTGTTCCTTGACAGTTCAGACATCTCAGAAGGCACAGCCAGCACTGCAGCGTTTTGGGGAGGCAAGTGAATTAAACTGGGAAGCAAAGGTCTAGAACAATAAGAGTGCTCAGTGGGCAAAGGTGGTTTGAAGGCTCTGGTTTCTCATGTTCTGCTGCTGTTTGATGGTACATTTGGAGAGAGAGAAGTTGCATGGCTGAGTCCCACTTTATACACCTCTTCTTGGAGAAGGCATTGAAGGACCTTCTGTGGTTGGGAAAAAAGGAAGTCAACTGAAACTCTAGGGCAGGGGTTACAGCTGCCCAGAAATGAGTAGCAGATGTCACCAGACCTCACTGTACAGATCATGGCAATGGAGCCACTGAAATTTTCAAAGAGATTCTAGGAGAGGATAGTCTAGGATCTGAAATAGGAAGAAGTCTTACCTGTAGAAAATGGCATAAAGTAGTCACTCTTTTTAAAGGTACCATTTGCATTCAGGAAATGTCCTGGGTCAAATTTTTCTGGATCTGGAAATTCCTTGCTATCATGTAGGACGGAAGTCAGCATAGGGAATACCATAGTGCCCTGAAGTGACAAAAAAGAAAAGTACAATGGAGATTTGCTAAAGCAAAGAGGGATTAAGAAATACCCAGAGCTAAATAGAATGGTAGTCAAAGTTTAACCAGTTTAAAATGAGCACTTAAGGAGTGAAAATATATGACATTGGTATGGCAAAGATGGGGTTTTTTTAATGAATTTTAGTGGTGAGTCTGTTTAGAGTATTTCAAATTGCTCCCAAATAGAACAGAGCTTACATTTATGTAAAAAAATAGAACGCTCTACTGCCCTCTTCTCATAGAGGATGAAAAATCTTTTCTTTTTTTTTTTTTTTCCTTTTCTAATACAATGGATTGGACTTAATAACTACCAGAATCCCCTTCCAAACCAAACTATTCCAATTCAATATCACATTGCAATGCTTTCGAAAATTAAATAAAATACAAAGAATAGAACATATAATTGTTTTCAGGAGATTATGACCTTTCTCAGACACAATGCAACAGACCTTGGGGATAAAATAGTCTCTGAACTTGGTGTCTCTGGTCACAGCATGTGGGACATTCAGTGGAAGGAAATCAATGTATCTCTGGATTTCGTGGATCACAGCCTCTGTGTAGGGCATCTGGCTCCGATCTGCCATGCGGGGGCTTCGGTCCCGGCCAATCACGGAATCAATCTCCTTTTGCATTTTCTCTGTTAGGAAATAAGTAAATGCTCAGTGGACAAGTAGCCCATCTGTTTGCCTAAGTCTCTCCCCATATTTACAACACAACTTGCTTTTAGTCAATTGGGAATGTATGAATATACTTAGTACTAACATCTCCTTCTTGTGAATAGATCTAAGATTAATACACATTTCCACACTGCAAAGTCATGTTTCTTAGTCAGGGCACCATTGCCACATGTAGTAATGACAGGAATTGTCCAAACTGATCCCGTAACCTACTAAAACTTTTTACATCATTTATTTCCTTTTTTATTACCTACTGTCTCTGGGTATTTATGGAGAATCAGAATTGCATATCTCAGTGTGAGGCTGGTGGTCCCTGTTCCTGCAAGGAACAAGTCGAGCGTGGTTCTGGTCAAGGTCTCAGTGGTGAATTTTGAGTCGACATTTCCTTTCTCCTGTAAGAAGATTTGGCAGAAGGTTTTCAATGACAAAATCAAGAAGCTAGTTTAAAAAGAAAAGTCCTATACCCATAATGTATGTTCATAAACATATCTAATGTCCTTTCAAAAATACAACACTCTCCAGAGCACCAGCACTTATGTACTTTTACTGAATAATATTATGAACCTTTTTAAATCTGGGAGTAGCATTGAATTACATTAACCAGATTGGCCTTCAACTTTCTTAACTTTGGCTGGTGCTGTTAATTCCGTGTTTAAAAATCCTTGATAAGAAAATGGAGAGGATAGAATGAAGTC